GAAATATATTGTATAAAAGAAATATATGCTATAGATGACATAGATGACATAGAAGACATATATGATTTCTTAGGGATTGACATCATTCTTTAGATCATCATCATCCATGTCTTCTTTCGTATAACATTAATAAATTTGAATAAAAATGTGAGAACCCTTATAATAGAAATCATTTCAGTTACTATATATAAGGTTAAAAATAAGTTCAAGATGAATTATACAAATATTATACTTTATGGTAATGATTCTTTAACTTCAGATTGCATTTCAAAGATTTAAGTAAAAAGGTTTATTTAGAAATAAAATAATACATTAAAATCATATAAGTTATATATATATAATAAATCATAGCTTGAAAATTATTACTTACTAGTACTTAAATAAATTTAAAAATTATAAAGTATTATAATAGTTTGCATAATTAGTATAAAATAGAAATTATTTAACAAATTAGAGAAAAGGTTTTCATTACTTTATAGTTAAAACTGAATAATCATTTAGAATTAAAAGATTTTTAGATGTTCTAATTTTTATTACTTTTTTTTTCAAAGCTTTAAATTGGAAGTATTTTATTATATATTTTACCTTTGTAGTTAATATATACTAATTTGCTTGTTTTTTGAGCAGAGTTGATCCAATGAATGAACAGTAAATGTAGAACAAAGGATAACTAAATTGTTATTAAAAAGTCGCGAATCTGTTAAAAATAGTCAAATTTTTTTCTCATTTCATCAACTATCATTTTAAATTGCGGTACTGTACTTATTATTTTTTTAATTGTTATCTGCTAGGGGTAATTTATAGTTAAATGAATGATACTTCTCAACTTTGGCTTTGTAGTTGTTGTGGCACTGTAAATCACGTGATAATTTTGACAAAAGAAAAGTGAAGGAAACTCTATCCAAGTTTTCAATCAAATTTGACAGAAAAATAAAAGGCTATATTTATGAGGAGAAATTACAGGATATTTGCAAGTTTTTAATAAATCAAAAAAATTTCTGATTATTAGTAAGAATCTTTAATGTTACGCACTAATATTGGTTTTAATTTTTTTTTTTTTGAAACAAAATACATAAAAATTTTGATCAGATAATTAAAAACCCCCTACAAAATAGTAAGAAATCAACATACAAATTAAAAAATTAAATAAATTAACAATATTAAATTCATATATTTTTAAGAATAAAGAAAATACAAATGATAATTAAAATTTAGCTGGACAGCTTGAAGTTATGAAATTCGGAATAAAAAAACAAATAAATGTGATGCGAGAACAAAAATAATGCACATATTTTTCTTCCCTATAAGAAGAAAAATGCGCCTTATTCATAAATATAAATAATTAAACTATATTACCAGTCAAATTAAGTGTGTGAATAATAATAATAATAATAATAAACAAAATGTACATCTCAAATTAAACTTAATTATTTATAAATGAGTTAAAGCTCCAAGTAAAAAAATTAAATGACAGCAAAATGAGGAAAAAAAAAAAGAAATGCGAATAATAAATAAGAAAGCATGACATTAATTATATACCAAATTATTTCAACCAAAACCCTTCACTGTCCGTTATAGACCTTTTTAATTTATCTTCCAGTTTCTTTCGGGAACGATATCGATATAGGCAAAGTTGATTAAAACACGTGTGTGCAGTTGGGAACCTAAAATTTTATACAATTGTTAAAAACCAGAAGTTGAGGAGGAAAAAAAAACAAGAATAAATTTTTTTATTATGGATGAACCTATCACTATCCTCTCCAATACATGAAATTTTAAATGCCAAGTTTGTCAATCCCGTCGCTGGAATTCGATCAGTTCCTGTTACAAATGTCAACATTTTTCTTTGCATTGGAGGATCCATATCTCTAAATATTGACCAAAAGTTTATAATTGTATCTTCATCTTCGTTGAAGTTTTCATATACAGTTACGGCTTGTAACTGCTCAATTTCTATCGGTTCTTCACCGCCTCGAACCAAAAGTTCGATTTCTTCAGGTTGAAAGAGCTTAAATTTTTTTAAGGAAAATGATGAACAATTGGATTATTCATTATTGAAAAAAAGGAAAGGAATAAATAAACGGATACGTACAGACAAAGCATTACCACCACAAACATTATTAAATCCACGCTTAAATGGTTCAAATTGTTTTGCAATAGACTCATTGAGTACAAAATTTACGTATCTGTCAACATATTCTGTTTAATAATAAAAAAATTATATAAGAATTATAAGATAAAATAAGTGATTGAAACTTGTATAACAAATGTTTGGTTATTACCTTCCCTATTAGCATTTGTTACAGGTAGGTTCTGACCATCAGGAACAAGAGGTATCCTTTGTAATTCACCAAACGCTTCATATTCTCCAACAAAATCACGGCAAAATATAGATTCGACATCTCCTTCAAATGTAAGGAGTTGACGTAATCCTCTTGCAAAAGCCTTTACAAATAAAAAAAAGGTCAATTGTCAATATATGTAAATTCATGTAATCGAATAATAGATTCAAAATAACATAAAATAAAAGTAAAGTGTTTAATATATCTAATGTGAACTCACCGGTCGAAAAACTGCTAAATCTTCTAAATCAACAGGCATATTAAACAATTTCTTATAACATGCCAATGGAAGATGCACATCCAATATGGTAGAATTATAAATTGCAAGCCCGATAACAACCCCAACTAAATAATATTGATCACTTGTTTCAAAACTTGCAGGATTGAACCAGCATAACTTAGAATCCTCATCCCATGTGAACATGCCTTGAAAATAGCAATGTCAAAAAAATTAATTTATAAAAAATATGTATTTTTAAGACAAATTATTGAAAAACAGAGAGTTATTCTATTGCACTCACCAAACTGTGGATCAAATAAATGTCGTACTAACAATAAAAACCACTCTTTTCTAAGACCACCACCATCAACACCATCTTCGCCAACAAATTCTATCCTCAATGATTTTTTCAGATCCATTTCATTAGCTGAAATTTGTCTCAATGAGTCCTCAATTAAGTAGTCTCTCCTAATCTTTAATATCAAAACTGTTGTCGTGACGCGTCTTTGAAAAAGTATCGTAAAGAAAGCTTCCTATAAAGAAATTTTCATAAATACATTCAACCTTATTTCTTTCCATAAAGTCAAGTCGGTAAAAAAAAAAAAAAGAAAAAAAATGTACTTTTGCTTTCGTTTCCATTTGTCGTTTTGCGTCGAATTCCATAATGTTCATCTTTCCTCCCATACTTATTAAGAATGGATACTGACAGAATGCAAATTTTCTATATAAATAAGAAGCGAGAATGATGAATACGTGGCCAATATTGTGAAGTTTCATCAAAGAAACTAAACTTTTTAACATTTTACTAACCCTTGCCGCTGTTCCCATCTGTCAAAATCTTCTATTAATTCGATGTAATCCACCATGGTATTATAAAAATCTGATAATGGAACTTTAATTTGCTGTTTATTCGCTGCAACTAGTTATATAAAAAAAAGGTTAATTTTAATGATGTTAATGATAATTTCAAAATTTCCATTAAATACATACACAACAAAGCCATAACTCGTGCCGCAGAACTAATTCTCCAGTCCGATTCGTAATCTTCGGGACTCGTCTTATTGCGTTGCTTGGATAACTTGGATAATCGAAAAGTAATAAAAGAATTAACTAATTCTACACGTTTTCGAAAGATTGTAGTAGATAATCTGAAAAGACAAAATTATTCGTTAATCATTTTTTAAAAAAAATTTTTTTTTTGAAACTAACCGTGTGAACCAGTTAACTAAGTAATGATGAAGTTCATTGCTTAAATTAGAGAGCAATCCAAATATCCTTTTTACAATATTATGATGATACTGGGATTCTTGAGGGAAATTATGTTGTGCAAGAAGCGGGTTCTAATAAATGAGAAATTATTAAATTTCATTATAAAACAGTTATATCAAAGAGTTAAATTTAAATACGAACTTCGAGAATTATCATTAAAAATTTTATGTCCTCTCGACGTTTTAACATTCTTTTCAATGCAATAAATTAATTAATAACATAATATTTAAAAGGAAAAAAAAATTTTTTTTCATAAATTTTTACCTTCCAGGACGTTTCAATATATTCTCAACTGATTTCATCATTGATCTTATAACACTTACGGGCTGTAAATGATCAATTTTCTAGTTATTGAATCATTAAAGATACAAACAACAACGGTTACTAGATTAATATTAACATACCAATTCTAACATAATTTTATACGTTTCTCTAACTTGATCCAAAGCGACACCACAATCTTCCAATGTGACTTGACGACCCTTTTAATCATTATAAATTTCATGTTAACAAAATTTAATGATAGCATATACTTGAAAAAAGAAAAGGTATAATAAAAAAAAATAAATAAATGGTAAATATATAAACAAAATTACCCCTTACATTGCTAAAACTTTCATTCAAAATATACCAATTAGAGAAAGTTCTTTGTATTTCTTGCTCTAACATGTCAAAGCTTGGAGGCCGTATTCCATTACTATTAATTTGACAGGTATTAATAATTGACCGTACCCTATCTAACGTTAACGGAATAATAGGTTCCGCTTTATGAGTAAATGATAAAAAAAAGGAAGACCAGATCAATTAATTGGATATTATTATATAATCATGAGAAGCAAAACAAATTAAAATACATTAATTTTTTGCTCGCCTGATAATTAATTGATATTTTACATACGTCTTTGTATACTTTGTTTGGAAGGCTTCAAGTCGTTGATGGTTTGACAAACGGTACATCGAAAGCATGATACTGAGATTGGAAATCGCAAGGTACTGTATTAAAAAGAAAAGCAAATTAATTATTTGTGCTATATTATATGTAGATAGAACAAATTTCTAAAAAAAGTCATTTCAAGATCGATTTACCTATTGCAGCACATACAGTTTCCAAATCTCTATAAGATATAAAATATAAGTTTAATACGTAATTTTTCTTCTAAGGAACAAGCAAATTAATTTTAAACGAACCATGTTTACGTTCGAGAGCGATGGTGGAAACCCGCCACCGTTAACCCCATTTGTGATGCTAAGTCCACCACCACTAGGATCCGCTAAACTATAACTTGGCGAAGAACTATTACTAAAGCTATTGCAAGATGTACTAGTGTTTGGACGAGGAGGTAACTTAACCTTTCCTGGATAATCCATGTGCTTGGAAGATAAATATTTAAATATCACAATAACGAAGAAATTCTACCGAAATGAAGAACAAGTATGAATGACGCCCCACATATAAATATGACAGATAATCCCGATATTGATATTAATCCGATTTCTTGGAAATTCTAACTGTAAATAGATTTAATGATGTATACAAATAGAACAAATTTAGTTAAAATTTACATATAAAACAAATAATCACGTTTATTTAACATTTCCAGATGATTTTTTTTCCTACTATGGCTTTCAATTCAAAGAAGACATATGGCGAACGAATTGAAAATTTTACTAATATAGCAGCTCGTGAACTTCTCACACTTATGGAACGTAAAAAAACCAATCTCTCTCTCGCTCTTGATGTAAATACAAAACGAGAGTTTCTTGAAATAGCTGATAAAGTTGGACCATATATTTGTTTGTTAAAAGTAAGTTTTAATTAGCACAAACTAGAGGGGGAAAAAAAGTGAGCTAATTTGTAAATACTATTTTTCATAAGACTCATATAGACATTTTGGTAGATTTTGATCAAGACTTTATTGAGCAACTCAAAAAGTTGCAAAATAAACACGATTTTATGATATTTGAAGATAGGAAATTCGCTGACATTGGTGCGGTCCGTGCTTATTGTTTTCCTTCATTTTACTAGTTCAGGCAATAAATACTTTCGCATCCTTTAAATTTCATAAACAACGAATAGGAAATACTGTTAAACATCAATATTCTAAGGGCATTTACAAGATTGCGGAATGGGCAAATATTACGAATGCGCATCCTTTACCGGGAGATGGAATAGTTTCCGGATTAAAAGAAGTGGGATTGCCCTTGGGTCGTGGGTTGTTGTTGCTTGCGGAAATGTCTTCTAAAGGTAGTTTGGCAACTGGCGCATATACAGAAGCTGCAGTAGAAATGGCTCGTAGACATCGAGATTTTGTTATTGGATTTATTGCTGGACGTAAATTAGTTAGTAATGAAAATGAAGATTTTATAGTCATGAGTCCCGGAGTTGGACTTGATTCTTCAAAAGATGGATTAGGTCAACAGTACAGAACTCCAAGAAATGTTATATTGGAAAGTAACAGTGATATTATCATCGTGGGTCGTGGAATTTATGAAAGTGATAAAGATGTTATTGAAGAGGCTTTACGGTATAAGAATGCGGGATGGAATGCTTATTTAGAAAGGTTGATGAATTAATATCTGCGACAAATTATTGAAAAGAATTTATTATCTATTATTTAAAATGAGAAATGCGACTTATTATCATGAGAATAAATAACCGGTGATATTTTTTTTTTTTTTTAAAAAAAAAATCAATAATTAAATTACCTGAATTTAATATTATAAAATCAATACAAAATAATAAAAGATATATTGAATCGAATGATATTAAGTTCATTAAAAAGGAAATCTATATACATGTATGTATGTAAACCTCACTAAATTTTTTATTAATGCCTATAAAAAAAAATTTTTTTTTTTTTTTTTTGTATATATCATCTCATTGAAACTTCTAACTCGTTCAATTTTTGAAAAATATCGGTTGACAGCACACTATGTAATTAAGCAACGAAGGTCGTTATTTAACGGTTGCAAAACATTATAACTTTTAGACCATAAAAAAAAAAAGGATTACCTATGTTTTATATATCCCGCGAATGTGACCAAATTTTTAGCCTTTTCACTAAGGACGCTCGTATCCTGGAATAAAAAATAAATTAACTCGAAATTATATGAAAACTATTATAAAAGAGGGAGTAACTTACTTCCATATATTTATTGGAAGGACCCGGAGACCAACGCGATGTTTGATCTTTTAATTGTTGGTAACGCGAATGCAAACAACGCATTGTGATAAGCAAAAGCTCTTCCAGACATTTCTTCAATTGATCATCGAACACTTCTATTGCAGCAGCCTTTTGTTTAATTATGGTGATGTCTTTTTCAAAGGAAAAGATGTCGATACTTTGTATAATCTAATAAAATAAAATAATATAAATGTGTTTATAAGCATAAGATATATTGGTAACAGACAAACTTGTAGTTATCAAAGGGGATTACATTAAGAGCATTCTCGTAATTCTGCATTTTGTACATTTCTATAAAATCAACCAGGCCGAGTAGTTTTTCACACGTCTGTATACGGTCAACTGGTAAACTCATTGTGATTTGATTTGTTTTATATTCATGTAATACTTTTTTAATTTCCTGAGGGTTAAATTCTTGTGCTGTTTCGGGCTGCATTGTTACACCTCGGACGGAAACCCATATGTACTCTGCAAGCATCTTATTAAGTAATAAGATAATTTCCTCGTAGCTCTACAAGAAAAAAAACCCCCCGCAACAGCACATTAGTTTTTATTACCTAAACTATTTTGGAGCATATATGATTTAATTTACCTCAGTTAATTCATAAAGACTTTGAGCTGCTTTAAATTTTCCGTCTTCAACACACTGGCGGGCAAGAGCGCTAACTATAATCTCGTTGAACTCTTTTTCATTATCAATATACATTAAAGACATATATTTTTTTATCTGACCCTAATTTGAAATAATACATTAAATTTTTTTTTGATATCATGATGTAAAGTCGTAATTGATATGCAAACACGAACCTCCCTGTTCCGAACGTCACCAACTAGTTCTGCGAAAGCTTCGGTGTCATATACAAGTTGTCTAACATAATAATGACACATCTCAATCTGATGTAGACCGCTGTCCGAATCGCGTCTTCCATACAAATAAAGTAAAATAAGGTATTGAAATGCTGTGTTGGGGGCGTTATCATTGGCTAACATACGAACATATTGATATATGATTGTGTTGAAATTAAGCTTTGGACGGGATTCTTCTTCATCAACAACTATTGATAAAATTGATAAAATGCAATCCAAAAAATGTCAGTCCTTAATCAAATTCCTTTGTTCATTAGATTGAGTTGATCCGAAATCGAAAATTCTTCTTGATGATCCAACTCAATTACAATGAACAAGTGAATAAGGTTAGAAAAATGAAATAATCAAAACAAGTTTCTTTATCGAAACTGATCAGGTTTGAATTATGTACTTAATGCCATTGCTTCTGCAGAATCTGGTACTCTAAGCAGTCCGTAATATGCAAGTGCTATAGCAAAATGTACAGCATCCTCGGTATACTCATGAAACAGGTAAAATATCGCCTATGTAAGAAATAAAAAAAAATTTTTTATTTCAAAAAGAAAAAATAGTTTGTTTCTCTACTTCTTATATCTTAACGTAAATGCACTTAAAAAAAAGCAAAAGAAAAAAACTATAAATTTTGAAATAATTACCCTTTCAAATTGAAGAGTTAACAATAAAACACGGAAATATTGTATAGGGTCTTTTCCATTATGATTGAAATGAGCAGGACCTAGGTCCCGAACCTTTTTTTGAAATCTTTCAAGTGAAAGAATACCCGAAACCGGTTCACTCTCAATATTTATTTCGCGGACACACATTAGCTGTAAATAAAACATATTGAAGTTAACAGATCAATACACGTGATTTAAAAGGAAACCCTTAAATAATCTATTAAATGAAAATAATAATTACATGTTGCCACATAAAATCTTCGAATGTAGGACTGATGTTTCCTGTTTGTGGCTTTTGGGGTAATTCTTCCATCTGAGCAACAATTTGATATAATAAGCATTTATAAGGGTCATATAACTGAGGAAGAGGCGGCCATTGTTTAATTTCTGTCACCAATTTCTGTCGGTCATCTAAAGGAAGACTGATATTATAATAATATAAAATTAATTGTCCAATCATAAATTCAACCTTGTTGAGATCATTCGTAAAAGATACCTATTATTATTGGTTATAAATTTCGTAAAGTATGTGATAAATGTCTGATCTTGTTTTGAAAAATTATTCTTATAACTCTGCGCAACTTGTAAAGCGTCTTGGTAGTGACCTTGACGAAGCAGAATATAAATATGACCCCATATTGGAATATTATCTGCCATCTTTTAGAATCAAAATAAATAACGAAATTATTACACGAATTAAAAAAGTTGAAAATTATTTTTTTTAAAAAAAAAGATTACCTGTAAGTTATCTATTGGAATTCCTCCATTAGGCCTGTGGATAGCACGTAAAATAGCACGAGCCGTATTACTAACAGAAGGCTGGCCGCCTAATAAAGCTTCATTACGGAACGAATTTACATAATCTGATGAATAACTACGATATCTTTTATTCAAACAAAGGTTTAAGGATAGAAATAAATATTATCCATCCATGTTTGTATAATTGTTAAAATGCCATAAAAAAAGGATACGATTCTTCCAAATAACGTTTGGCCCCGTTTAATAAAGTCTTGTAGAGCTCTTTATTTTCCGGACTTGAAACAGGTGCCATATATGCTCTAGCATAATGACGCTCTTTCAAAGGATTACGGGTAAAACGTCCCTCTATAACATTGTTTTCACCAATAATGGACACTAGACTCTGCCAACATTGAACTAATTTCTTCACCTAAAGAGATTATAAGAGAAATAAATTAAATAAAAGGTCAATCTTTAGCTTTTAATATCCTGATAAATGACACTCACATATTCAACATTTATTTTTTTTGCGGCATTTGTAAATTCATTTATAACACCATACTCCAACTTTGATAACCTATAATGGTTCAATTTAGATACAACATCAAAATAAACCAGATGCCTCTGATTTAAAGGTAAAGTTGATTCACTTCTAAATGTTACTTTTCTTTCTCCCGCAGTTACGTAAGATGATCTCTAAAAACGGAAAAAGTGAGTGTGGTATTAAAGTAGTACAATAAATTCTTTAAAGTGGAATATGGAACCGACCGGAGTTGAAGATCCAATAAAACTTCCTGAGGTAGTTGTCCCTCTTAATGGAGTTTGAAATCTAGAACGACTACTTCCTGGTGTAGAAAATAAATCAGAATCACTAGAAGTACTAGTCGGAATATGCTGACCGAGTTCTTCAAACACTCTTCTTTTGGTCCTATCCCAATCGTGGATAAGACATCGATCGAAATAGGAGTTATAATCGTTTATGGTCTGAATATTGGTAATTTATAATTAAAACATTATAAAGTTTTTACTATAAACCAAATATTTTCGATTCAATTAAAAAATTTCTAACCTGTGTATGACCATCTTTGATAATACTAGAGATCGTTTGTTGATGTTTATGTTCAATAAATTTCTAAATATTAACAAATTTAGGATATAAAAAAGATTAAAAATAATAAAAAATAAATTCTAGAAACAAAAAAAGTTTTAAATTACCTCAACATCTGTATCTGGCAAAAGTTCTCGTGGCTCGAAAGCACCCAATACATTTATACTTTTAACTTCTTGTGATAATCTATCTCCATCAATTCCAATATTTGCTAAGAAATAAGGTCTAGAAACACATCAGAACATATGATTCAGAATGACGGGAACAGCCCATTATTTTTCAATTAATATTACAATAAAGAAACAAAATTCATAATTTTTAAAGATATCGATGATAAAATAATTGCTTTAATCAAATCAAATTTAATAATTACGCTTTTCTTTCAGGCTCCTCTCCAGGTTTTATAACTTTATCTGCAAGTTTACGCGATTGTTTTTCAATTTGTTCCAAGTTTCGTTCAATTGGTGGTATATCTTGTTTTATAATGGCATTTGCAACTTTACGGGATCTCTCGGCAAGATCTTTTAGTTGGTTAGCAGCCATAATACATATATATATATAATTAAATCTTCAACAGTCAACAGACATCATCTAAAAAGATAGTAAATCACCGTATATATATTTTTTTTTTGAAATGATCATCCGAAGTTTTACTATATTTGCTATAATAGGTAATTCATCTTTCAATAAAACAAATTTCAGGAGTACCAAAAATTTTATTTGTATAATTTAACCTTTTATATTGATAACTTTATTTTATTAATACCATTTATAAACAAACGGATATCCTAGAATTATCAAATTTGTTTTTCTTTTTTTTCTTTTTTTTTTCTTTAAATGCCCAAATTTATATAGCTGATCTACGCACCGATCAACGTACAGTTCACCCTTTCTATAACGAATCTTGTGTACCGAAGGTCGTGCTTCGCTATAGTAAGGGAATTCTTTAACGGTATATAGCGAATAAAGATAAGATTTTCGCTATACTGAAATATCACGAGACATATGTATGCTAATTATTTTAAAAATTTAATGTTGCGCATCAATTAACAAAAACAAGAAAACTTTCAACAAATGTTCCTTTATTATATTTGTAAATCTGTACATATGAATCAGTAATGCTATTACCTATGACCACATTGCCGACTTGCCATATATTATTTTTGGTATTCAATAAAACCTTGACAACCGTGAAAACAAAACTTATTAAAATTCGAAACTCCAAAATTATTATTTTCTATATCTATAATATTATTATTAACACCTTCTCTGTTCATATTATTAACACACTAGATCACTATAAGTATCGCTTGATTTGAGATTACTGTTTTCGCCTCCAACAAATAAATCTAAGTTCGTTTGCTTTTTGGAAAAAAAATGATTTCTATAAACTGATTTTCTAACATTTTTCATTGCTTTAAATGTATTTTATCAATAATATCTTGATTATCATCTTGTTCTAAATAGTCAAAAATTGTATCAAATGCACCTAGAGCCTCGGAACTAGTTACTGAAATAATAATCTTCTTGCCTTCATCACTAGAAATAGTATTGTTTTCTTTGAGCATGGCAACAATCTGTTCTTCAGATAATGGAATGCCAAAATTTTCATTTTTCTGATCTAATATAATGTATTCTTTAGCAGTAAGAGGGTGTGTATACTCAAGTTTATTGATTAGATCTTGAATTTCTCTATGCTTATTCATGTTTATTTCTTCACACTCATCATCTTCTATTTCATCATCAAGATTTATATTATCTGGTAAAATTCCTGTTTTATTTTAACAGTTAAATATAGTTTGAGAAAGAATTTTATTTTAGGCTAAGCTACATATTTGATAGCTTTTTTGATATTTATTGGTGATTTATTATGACCAGTTTCTTGTTGATAGTCAAAGACCTTAATATGATTTTTAAGAAGTAATTTTTGATATTATACCTACAAAATGCAAATACTGTAAGTTAAATTAAAATTTTTAATTATCAAAATTAGTTTGAATTTTATTACCTTAAAGTTATTTATAATACCTTTATCACATAGTTGAAGGTGCGTGGTGATATTAGAAGGTAAAAATTCAATTTTTAAAGTAATTAATTTCACATCTTTATATAAAGTATGAATAGGTATATTATTTACAAGTAGAAGAATATTTCTTCTTTTTAGTTTCATTTCTACATCAAATTGACAAATCCAATCATTTCAGATAGAAACCTGTATCTAAGTTATTAAATTCTAATAATATTTTACTGATAAAGATATTTTAGATAAATTTTTTAGAAGACAAGAATTTTTATATTTATGAATAAATACTGGTTTGAGTTTTTTTGTATTAGTTACATTAGAATAAAGAAGAATAATCACATGTTCTTTTAACTATTTTTGTCTAGTTACAGGTTTATTGGAGATCGTTCTTTTGGGTTTCATTTTCTAATACAAATCAGTTTCATCACAATTGAAAATATCTTTAAGATTATAATCACAAATCAAATCTTGAAGTTTTTTTCTGAATTTATCAAGTTGATCAAGAGATGCACTTATACCTTCTTCTTGTTTAAATAATAAGAAAGATTATGTCTTTTTTTAAACTGCTAATCTAACTATTACTCCTTTTAAAATTTTCAATTTTAAATAAAGTAATATTAATGTGTAATCTGACTGTTAAACAGAGTGTTCAAGTGGTGATTTTTTAAGTTTACGTAATAATCTAATAGTTATCTCAGTAAGTTAATAGTTCTTTTATATATTATTTAGAGTATATTCATACTTCAATTAATTAAGTTCTGTTATATATTGAAAAATATATTCAAACTTACGATAAATGTATAATTAATCCACTATATACTGCCAAGTATATTCAATATACTATTGAGTATATTTTTATATATTAAGTTAAAAATAAACGTGAAATATTATTAATAAAGGTGTCACAAAATGTCTTAGGTAAATTGAATAAAGATTTATTGGTAAATAAATAAACTAAAAGCTAAAAATATTAAAATAAGAAAATACAAAAGAAAAATTAATCACAAGTAGCCTTGTGTTATCTTTATAAAAAGAAGTTGCACATAATTATCGCTAAACTGATCAGATTGCATCTAGCAATTGATAGTTACTTTCTTATCAAGAATTTGATCCTTTTTATATACTTTTTTTATAAATCTAATATATCATATATTTTAAGTATGTCTGATATATTAAATATATCAGATATGTCTAATATATTAGATATACCAAATATGTTTGACATGTTTGACATTTTGATCTGCATTTTCTTATACTATATAAATTAAATACATCTATTAAGTCGATCATGTTAACTGTATCACTTAGGTAACTATTATATGTATTATGAAAATTAATTATACAGTCAGACCTGTCTATAATCACCCTGTTTATAATCACATCCTGTCTATAATCATTTAATTTTAATGTCCCAAAAATATAATATTTATTTACCCTTTTTATAATCACAACTATATGTTAATCACTATCACCG